ATTTAAATGTGTATTGTCAAGTAGAAAAAAAGCAATGTTTCCACTGGGACTTTCTTACAAGACAAGCTTGAGCTGGAAAGAATTTTTCTACTGCTCTGGCATGAAAAACTATTTAAACAATTAACTGACTACTCATTTCAGCTCTAATCAGAATAAAATGTCTTCTGTCCAGCCAATATAGATTATGATTTTAATAATATAGGGCTCCTAGATTTAATTGGTTTCACTCCTGATTCATGCAAATGAGCATGAAATTAAGGAATATAACCATATGTCATCCATTAACACAGTTCAAGGACTAGTTTGACTGAAGCAGCTGCCACAGATGGTGACTCCACAACACCAGGTAGTCTGGACAAAGACTGACATCTAGTGGTGACACAGGGACCAGGTAGTTGTATTGTGGTGAAGCAGTGATACAGTAGCAGCACGTTAACATACCGTCGATGCCAGTGTGAAGTGCAGGTTTTGTCAGGTTTGGTCCACTGTCAGCCTAAACATTATGTGATATGACTGTAAGGAATAAGTAGTTGCTGAAGCTAAAATTCTCATGCACATTTTGTTGTTTTCTCTCCACCACAGACTGGAAAACACTGGAAGCATGAGGTTGAACAGAGCTCCAGTTTTGTTCCACCAATTTAAAAAAAACAATACTTAACTTGCTATACTAAGGCTTGGGTAGTAAAATTTACAGATTATTCTTTGGCCTTACCATAATGTGCATTTTCAAATTTATGACCCGACAATAAAATAAATTGAATCTCTCACACCCCCGCCATGTAGAAAGAGCTCTCTCTTTCAGGTTGATGGCGAATAATTCCTCAATCTCTGTGTTGGCTGGGCTTTTGGATTTCACTTTCAACTTGTTAACTTGTTTGGCCTGAGAACTGGGATTTACAAATCCTTCTTGGCTGTCGGGCCAAGACGATTACGTCGCCCAGAATCCCTAAGGGTGGCCGTTACTCAAAACTATCCTTACTAAAAGATATTGGGCAGAATGGGGAAGTGATTTCAGCAGTGCTGAGAGGGAACAGCTGCAGTATTCTGCTGCTGGAGGATGATACATTTCCTTTTCTGCCTCCCTCTCACTCAGTCCCTCTCACTTTGCTTTCTCTTCTCTATTTCTGTTTCCACATTTAATATTTCTTGCACTTTTTTTTCTTGCTGTTGATTTTCTCTGTCTTTGTAGCATATTTCAGCAGCTCGTCCTCTGTCTCACTTGCTCCTTATTCCAGTCTGTTTACACACACAACTATGCGTGTAAAGATACACACACAGCATATACACAATTATACCCAAGGGAACCCAACTGTGCTGTGCATTCCCAGGAATATTATCCAAGGAATTTAAATAGGGCCCTTTTTCATATTTCAGCTTCATTTAGAAAAAGAACCTTAACACACCGTTCGCTAACACATCAGAACTGAGTGGGTATTATTTCTATGCATGTGTGTTTTTACAGAAAGAAGTAGTTGTGCCTAAATGTCCAAGCTGTCATTTGGGTTAGAATTAAGGTTAGAAATTTCAGTTTCAGTTCTGTATAAGGTTGAAAAATGGGCATTTAAGTTGAGCTGCTTGCTATTTAAGATCTCTGTGTGAGACAAGTTGCTGTATTTCTGAATTACCATAGAAACTATGAAACCACTGAAAGGAGAAGTGTGGAGCCAAAATCACCTGAGACATTCAGTTTTAAATCTGCACCGGACGTTTGTAGCAGACGCTATGCTGTGTGCACACACTTAAACATTAAAACCTCCGTTTAGAGTTTGTGAGCACTGAACCCATAAACGCCTCCTTTTTCTGTGTTGTGTGAATGTGCAGGTCGATTTGCTTGTGTATGTAATTCTGTGTGTGTGCTACTGGAGCCACATCTGGAAACAATAGCGCAGTACATGCTGTCACCTTCCCTTTACCTCAGGCTTTTGAGTGAGTTCTTAAAGAAACACTCAATTCACTCACAGTAAATTACAGGAAGGCAATCTGAGCTGCTGGTTTAGATTTTTGGACATACTTTCTCTTTCACTCTTTTGCTGACACACAAAGGCACACAAGCAGGCCCAGAATTAATCCTTCTGTACATGCAGTTTTACCCTCGCAACTGGTAAATTACAGTCCAGTGTGCATTAAGTGTAATTGTAAAACCAAATTACAGTTTGTAGTGAGAGGAGGTGTGTGTGCTTGTGCAGATGTGTGGTGGGAAAGTGATGAGTTCAGAGCTGATGAGATGTGATGGCAGGGTACACATACAGTCACTATGTTTCCACTGTGGATTTAAATCAATTCAGCGGTTATGGCACATTTCTCATTCAAACCTAAAGTAACTGTGTAAGAAACACAACTCACACAGAGTCACTGCTGTGAAGATGTGAGTTTACAGAGTTATGAGACTGCAAACAGCTTAAAAGCATTAATGGATAACAAAGCACCAAAACTTCATTTGTCTTGTCAGACAAGAGGTGGCAGCATTGCTCAACTCATTAAGTTAGAACAACTCAGAGGCTGCACAAACTTTTCACTGACACATTCAACTTATTGGTTTATAGGAAATAACAACATGATGAAGCAGGGTTATGTATTCAGCCTTTGATGCTTGCTCTTAATCTATGACACTTATTTTCCAGATGTTGTTTCTATTTAAAATTTGATGCAATTAGTTGATTAATAGATTAGTATATAGACTAATCAGCATCTATTTTAAATTAGTTCATTGTTTTACAAGTGAAAAATAGCAAACAGACGTGAGAATTTCCTGCTTCACTAATGTGATAGTTACTAGGATATATTTGGGGTTTGAAAATGTTAGTTGAGTCAAAAGAAGAAGGAAATTAGGTATATGACATTGTATAGATCAAACACACACACACACACACATGTAAGAACAGTACATAAATACACAGAAAACTATATCAACATACTGGAAACCAAAAAGTTTTATTCATCTTCTTCTGATACAAAAGTGTGTTTTAAATAGCAAACAATGTTTTTTGTAATTTGTTTTTTTTTTTACAAGGATAAGTTAGCAATTTCTTTATAGTTCAATGATGACATCAAGACAATGGGCTCTATTTTGCTGCAAGAGGGCGCAGCGCTAAACTCGAGTCTTGGGTCTTGTGTCTAACTTTATAAATGTTTGTTTGTAAAATATAACAGTCAAATCATATGGTCATCACTATGTTTATGGTGAAACTGACTGTGGTCCACCAGAGTGCACAGCCAGTGGATGTGTCGCCCACTGTATCTCCACCTACAGCTGCTTTCAAAGCTGATCGAACGGTCAGAAAATGCAAAAGCAGACACAATGTATATCCTCGCAGTAGTGATGAATCTTGTGTGAAACTTGTTCCTTTGAAGATCTGTAAGGTAACAGTGACAGCAGCTTGTCAGGAAAATTTTAAATGCACCTGCGGCTGCGATAAGAGGTGGTCTGAGCAGGTGCTATCGCTATCTTGGATCAAAAACGAGCACCAAAATTGCAGTGCACTGCCAAATCAGCATACACATGGCCTCAGCTGCACCTGTTCTCTCACCTCAGTGTACTGTAAGCCCATTCATTCATGGCAGGAAAACACCAAACACACTAACGTGCAACATAACGACTGTGAATGAGGGGACGCAGAAATTGCACTGGCAGGAAAATAGAGCCCAATGTCTTTACATAAAGGAAGAGTCTAGACCTTAAAGGCTATGATCTGTGTTGGTGGACCGAACCCAACATTGATTCGTATTTGGGCTTCTCAAAAGCACTGATAAATGTCTATAACCAGTGGTTCTCGAGCTTCATCGGGCCGTGGAATACACTCGCCATGTTCCAAAAAATGTCACCTGAATCCGAGTGCGGTCATACACAGCCAAAACATTAAGACAGTTTGGAGGGGAAGGTGGTCAGAGTTTAATTTAATTTAACATTATGTTGGTGTAATGTTCGTTTGACTTTGTGCCAAGATATGCTGGTTTGAGAAATGCTGTATTTTGGGGAGATTCTAGGTTTCACCAGGACCACCAAAGGTATCTTTGAATGTAATAAGAATCAAGTTACATTTAACATATTTTGGGAAAAATAATTTTGATCCATGCTAAGTATTTAACTTGAAAAACTGTAATGGGCTGTGTGAGGCACTATCAGGTTTCAAATGACACACAGGAGGGCAAAGCTACAAATGATTCAAGGCCTTAAACATTTAAATTGCTCAAAACCAAATTTCCTAACTCAAATGTTCAAAGAGTAATGTGACACACATCCCATGTATTATACATTCAAAGGTTCACTCAAATGCAAGAGCTTTGCTGGAAAGATTGTCAGGCAAATATAGGGTACACAGGAGCAAATGCTGAATTTGCTGAATGCAGCAGTAACATATGACGAGTCAGCCATTTGTATTTAAAGCTTACAGTCACAGAAGAACTGTAAGTTTAACACAAAACAACAAAATACAACGCTAGAGACAATGAATGGAAATCTCGCCTCTATCATATGTGAAATCCTGAAATGTAATGGACGTGAATCTTTTCCAGGGATGACTTGATTGTCTGGGAAATGAGCCACGATGCAGCAGAGGAGGCCAAAGAGAAACAGGCAGATGGTGAGACCGTCAGACAGACACACAGATATACAGGCAGAGCAGACACAGGCCGTATTGAATTGAGTGATAAAGGAAATATATGCACCCAGACATTCAAAAGCTGACGGATATTTTTTCTCTGATTATTGGTCTTTTTCCTTTTCCTTCGGACAGTGATCATAACATAGTGCACATCATTAATAGGAATGGATTCCTACATGTGTATACCTGCATATGTGTGTCTGTGACAGCTCTCTGGTATTGCATAATGTGTGATTGTCAAATAACCTCTAATTATTTAACCTGCTTCAGGCCTGATGTTTGGGGAAAAAGAAGCCAGAGGGAATAATTCAGCTTCCTGGATTTCATAGTAACTGAAGAGCACATACAGCTTCCAAGAGGACTGCATGCACCATTGGAAGTTAGCTGAGCTTCTCATAAACTGCAGAGGTAAAACACACAGGTCCACATTTCCCAGATTCCAAATTTATGGGTTAATAAAAGGCACCGCTGGGGTACTCCCAGGATTCATTGCTGTATGATTTCATAGCTACCACAGACTTAAAAAAAATTGTATTTCTCTGCCTAGCTTCACCATATTTGTGATTGTGAATCAAATTTTACACATTTGAACCGTAAATCACATTTGTTTTTTCTGCAGTGAAGACCCTCCCAGTTAATGGCTCTGTGCATAATCAATATACTGTGTAATGACTTGGTATTAGTCCCACCCTGTTGTCCCTGGTAATGCACAAGTAGAGACATTTGTATATAATTATAGTGCATTATTACAGCTTAGAGCTGGTTTCCCAAAAAGTTCTGCGCAATTAAATTACGTTCTCTTATGTTGTACAAAATGTATAATTTACAAAACTGTAGAATAATGTTCAGATGCAAACTCACTGCAGATTTAAGGCCATTTATCAGATTCTGATTCCTTTGAGTCTGGTATTTCATTGTGCTTGTGTTATCCCATGTAGAAGAGGCTCTCAAAGTGTCTGTGGGAAACTTCAGTCTACATCTGCATAATATCTGCACCAGGATCCTCCAGTGTTAAATTTCAAACTTTAAAAGACTCTAAAAACACACGACATTAGCGTTTACTGTTTCCAGCAAGTCCAGTGTCTTCTGCTGGGAACTATGGAGTAAGGAGAGACAGAGAGGTAGATGTAGTGCTGCACAGCTTATTGGTGTGTCCCGTCTGCATATCGATGCTTTTGTTCTGCCTTGTCTGTCTCTCCTTCTCCTTCATTTTTGCTTTCTCTGTCTCTCTGGGCAAAGGAAGTCTAACAGAGGTAGACAGGCTACTGTTGCTACTTATGTATGACTTGGTCCTCCTCATTTCTCCTTAACCCTTATCAGAGTTGGTCAGAGGGGGGTGAAGCATGCATATGCTTTTGCTCAGTATGAGCTTTTCTGATGCCATTACATCCACTGGCTTCCTTGAGAAACTCCTGCAACGTTCATATGTCACATTGCTCAACTCTTCATTCTCTGATCTCTTAAATCCTTCATTTGGTAGAGTGAGGCAGAATAAGTGAGAGAGAAGCAGGTAGCAGGTAGAAGTCCACTCCTGGCTGTTCTCTCTTTCTCCTCACACAACTGTCTCATTGCCTTTCCCCGGTTTGATCCAGCCCTCGCCGGGTGCCCTCTTGCCCCCTCGGGTCGCCCTGCTGTCCCTTAGCAGGTGGGCCGAGCAGCGCTGCCAGGTGTGGAGGGTTTTTGCTGACCAGATCCACATGCCTGACGTGATGCCTACAAGCAGGGACATAAAGATTCGAAGCATCTCTGATGACACGTATGAGTCCCTGGTGCTAGCCCTGAACTCCCCCCAGTGAGACAGCTGGTAGAGGTAACAGCCGATGACAGTGGATGCAGGGACTGTGTAGAGAACAGAAAACACTCCAATCTTCACCATTAAACGTTCAAGCTTGTCTGTTTTGGCACCGTCTTTCTGCAGATTGGAGCGGATCTTGAAAAGAGCCACAAGGCCGGCACAGATGAACAGGGTGCCTGAAGGAGTAGAAAGGAAAACAACAGTCAGGTAGAAAAAAAACATCACAACAGTCATAAAAAAACAGAGTGGTTGTACATGTTGAATTAATGTTGGATCTGAATCTAAATCAAGGGATTACCTATGAGAAGGTATGTGGCCAGTGGAGCCACCACAAAGCCTGTGAGCGCCTCCTGCTGCTGGTTGCCAACATAGCAGAGCCCAGTCAGGTCGTCTGCATCCACCAGTCTCATTATGAGAATGACAATGGTTTTAATTGCTGGGATGGCCCAGGCTGCTATGTGGAAATAGGAGCTGTGCATTTCAATAGCCTCATGACCCCACTTCAGTCCAGCAGCCAAGAACCAAGTGAGGGTTAGGATCACCCACCTGGAAGAGAGGGCACAAAGAGTGAGAGAAGGGAAAACCGCTGCTCATCTGTAAATGATCAGATGATCTTTCTCAGCCTGGTAGCAAGTAAGAATCAAATATTTCCTAGAAACAAGATGCCGAGGCATACCACTGGGCTACCGTGTACTACAAGAACATTTCAACCTTTTATCATAGCGAATGAGGCAGACATACATAGCAGAAGGTTGTGATCATATTTTAGGAGTGTGGGGTCCTTGGTCTTGTCACTCTTTTGATTTTCCAAAAAGGAAGAGTGAAGACAAACAGGAAACGAGGGCAAAGTGAAAGGGAAGAAGAAGGGCTGTAACAGCAGTGTGTTTCCACTGCAACTGTAGTGCACTCAGAAAGTGGCATTTTTACCAAAGCGGTCTTGGTATGTGGGAAATTAATCCATCCAGTACAGAGGTTACGAAAGACGAGAGTTAGACTTTAAAGAAAACAGGATGCAAGTCTCGTGTTCCAGTTGTTCCACCAAAGTCCATTCACATCTGCTGATGACAATAGTCAAACTGGGACAAAGGGATGAAGGATTAATACGAGATAAAGGGTGTGTTTGTTTTTACTAACCAGAGTGAGGAGGCCATGCCAAAGAAATAGAGGAGGAGGAAAACTATGGCACAGCCTGTGCTCTTTAACCCTTCTTGTACTAGAATTGGTACACCTGTTGCATCCAGGTCACAGGAAACGCGTTCCCTCCCCAGAGTCAACCGAACCTAGAAAATGACAAAAAAAGAACAAAAAGGGAAACAATGCATGGAGAATTATTCATCACCGAAAAAGACAAAAAGAAGCATCACCTGTTAGCATTTGTTCATTCTCTAACTTCAGTGAGACAATATAATTCAGAATCTCCCGCTTACCAGGTAGGCAACACTGTACAGATTACAGCACATGGACAGGAAGATAATGGGTCGTTCAGGGTAGGAGAAACGCTGGGAGTCCAGTAGAAAGGTCAGGACCGTCAAAGTGGTCGACAGGAAGCACAGCACGGCCCACACCGCCATCCACGCGTCTGTGAAAACTTTGGCCCCTCGTCGGTAGAGCCCGCTGTCATAGCCGCACTGGAGAGTACAGCTTTCGGTTTGCTTGAGCCAGGTATACTGGTCGGGTGCAGATCCCAGTGCCTGACACTCCTCCTGGTGAGGGGGGTGTCGGACGGGCTGGTAGGGTGGGTCCTCATCCGCCGGACCCTCCATACACATGTGGTTGTGGTCGTTTTGAGGTGGGAAGAGGCTGCAGTTGAGCACCTGCAGAAATGGTACTTCGGTTGATTACTTAGGCTGTAATTTATGCATTTTCCACAACACACTAAAGGTCTATTTGTTACATGTGTAAGATCTGTGGCAGAAAGTAACTAGGTACATTTAACTCTGTATGGTAGCTAAGGACAATTTTGAGGTTTCTATACTTAAGTATTTTCATTTTCTCCTACTTCGTACTTTCATGTAAAATGTACTTTAATACTTGAAGTATATTTTGATGCCAAAATTTTGTACTTGTTAAGTAACATTTTGAATGTGTAACGTGTAACACTATTATATAATATAGTACTTTTACACTGTGGTATTGTTATTTTTACTTAAGTAAACAATTTGAGTACGTCTTCTACCACTGTGCAAGAGGTGCTTGTGATGATGTGACTCACGTCAGGCCACGTGAAGCCAAACTCGTTGAGCACTGGAAGGCATTTTCTCTTGACGGACAGACACATGCTACCGCATGGGCCAATCGGGATGGGAACCTTGTCAGTGCACATTGGCACATAGACTGAGCACAGGAAGAACTGGGGAAAAAAATGAGGTAAAAGATTAGAAGTTGAACATTTTGCTCTTGGTATGTTTTACAAAGTATGTATTCTGTGGTGAAATTTCTTAGCATTGAGTGTTAGTTATCCAATATTATGTCATATTTCAGTGTATTGCTTTGTAGACTTGTTCCAGACAAGCTAAATCAAACTGTGAAGTATGTCAGTGGTTAGCATTTGAAGAAGAAGTGGAAACAGTGCTGGGAGTACCCTGTGGGCCACACTTTTTATACATTACAACAGGATTACAGCTCATAGATGGCTACACCCACATGTGGATCCTCCATCTACATGCGTGTACCACTCGCTACCCTTCTGCTTTCTGTCCCCTTGCTTTCAATACATTGCATCACCTCTTCTAGTCATGGGTATCTCGTTTCACTTCTAATAAGAAACTTGAATCACGACTCCATGGCCAACGTGAACCTGCTCTAAGGTTACACACACAACTCTGCACAATCTGGGGCCTTAACAATACCAAGGGCATGTGCCATGTAATGCTGCATAATCCCCCCTGATCCGAGGCTCAGTTTGCTCTGTCCCATGGCAATAGTTGTGAAATAGAAAGTCAGTTTTATAAAGATGGGGGAACAGTCTGGAGTCACATTTGAGTGTTTGAGCACCTGGGGATACAAAAGGTTGCAATTTTGAGTGATTTCATGGCTTTGCAGTGAAATCAGTTTGAAGCCTGAGTGTAACGTGCCAAGCTCATGATATGAAAATACACAGAAGCTCTCTGCTACTTTCAGGTAAAAGGAAACAAACATACCCTCCAGGAACTTGGAGAGGGTCATAGCATAGAAAAACATGTTAGGGTGAAGGATTTGCTGCAGTTTTCATTTCAAAAATACCAAAATATTTATTGAGCCATAATAAGAACAAAATGTTTTAGGCTTGCGGCCCTGAACTGACGTGAAATCAGCCCTAGAACGGAGCCCAAATGAAACACAAATTCAAGAAGGTGTCAAGGCAGGGAAATGAATACACGGGGAAACCTTGTACAACTCTTATTTTATTTGCAAAATAAGCATAAAAATGTGTATCTGTGAACTGCTTAGGCTCAGGCTATAAAAAAAATGACAATGATAAATAAATAACTTAAGAATTGCAGATATAAGCACATAGCCTGTGTAGCAGGGCAGGATTATTGTGCCAATTTTCAGCCATGCCGTTCTGTGTAAAGGGCACCAAGATGACATGAGGGATCAGCCTCCTTTATTTCACCATATGAAGTAGGAAAAAACGGGTTTCTCCATAGGAACCTACTGAAACGTCCCAGGTTCTGCGTTTGTTTCCACTGCACTCCGCCCACTTTGGAGGTGCTGTCCGGGAGCTACATTTTGGCACCCCTCAGGAGGTAGCGCTAAAATCAAGTTATATGAATGTGAGGTGGGTTGGGGGTGTGCAGTGATGTCGCTTGTTCATTTAATGTCAGCGTCTTCACACCTCAAGCATTAGCATTACAAGCAAAACATAGAACCACACTCACTGGTTTAAGGTAAAACAGGGACTTCAGTGAGTGGACCACTGTCAAAGAGGAGAAGATGTCACATTTCTGCAAGTCTGTGTTCTGCTTGTTCAACAGCTGTTTGACAAACTGCTCATATAGTCTCCGCTGCTGGCTGATTGTTGCACTGTGGAGTGATCCTTCACGTCCTCCGCTCAGCTATGAGTGTGCGTGAGAGGAGTGTGGCCCCTACCTCCTCTAAACAGTGACCCATACGCCGAAAAATACAGGGGAAAGGCAAAGTAGGATGGTCTGCTTCAACCTGTGAGGTTGTGCTGGGCGACGGTTAAGGGAAACGCGGGTGTACCGCCCATTAGGTTGTGACAGTGGACATGCGGCTCATTTGGCAGAACCGTTCCACCCCGGCCTCTTCGTGAAAGGGGAGAGGCATCTTAGGGGGTTGTTTCTGTGGTGTGCCGTTAAATTTTAATAATGCTAACAAGAAACAGAATGTGCTTCCATAATCATTAACGTGTTGTACACCCACTTTGAGTTTGAATCATATTGTAAATCTGCACAATGAGCACATCCCTACTCTGTTGATTTGAAAGCAACAGTGATACCAGTCTGATTTGCATTTCCAGCGTATGTGCTATATGCATGTTTATATGTACACAAGACATTAAACATTACACCTCTAATAGCGGGATGGTATCTGTGTAAAAAGAACACAGGGGCAGCAATATACTGGCTTTTTTAAGTGCAGTGTAAATAGGCAAAGTCGCAATTAAAAAAGGTCAATTTAAAGCCTTTCTCTCTCTCTCTCTCTCAATCGCTGTCCAAAAGATGCTCTAGAATCACCAAGCTACTGTTTTGCTAAACGCTAACAGGCTAAACATGTTTCTACAATTGCAAGTAACAAATATGTCTTTTGACTATGGGTCTTACCTGTTTTACTAACTGTGAGGTAAACTGTGTGAAAGTCAAATGGAAATTCCTTTAAAAAAATTTACACTGTTCTCATCTAGGTTGTAACAGCTTTATCTCTGCAAATGACAAGATATCTGGAGCCAAGACATATCTGGAGCCGATATTAAATTTCACACCACAAATAAAAAAACATTTTTGTTCCCAAACTGAACCTTATTTATTATAGTTCTCCTGAACAGTTTTGGTTTAGATTGAGCTTAGAAAGGTTTCAAATAAACAAAATTGCCCTGTGAATGAGTGTTTGTGTGTGTGTGTCAACTCATACAATCACAAAAAGATATCAAATGACATGTAATACAGTTTCTGGTATATCCCACAGTGCATACTCTACCAGTGACAGTAATGTAACACACTCTGGGTGTTTTCCCAGACTGTTGGTAACCTGAGCGCTGTCACTTGCTGCTATAAGCTGCTCTGGTTACTAGTCAGGAAGCCTCCCATTAGAGAAAATGTTAGGGGATACGGTTTCCTTTTTCCCTTGCCTCCCTCTGTATTGTGTGTGTGTGTGTGTGTGTGTGTGTCTTTATTACATTGTGTGGACACATTTCTGTTCAATGCCATCATTGTGAGGACATTTTAGCCAGTCCTCACACCAAAGGGTTCATGGGGGTTAAGACTGGTCAAGACTTAGTTTTAGGGTTCAGGTTAGAATTAGGTTTAGGTTGGGCTAAGAGTAAGGGGCTAGGGAATACACGAGTGTCCTCACAATTTCCAGCAGGAGGAGGACAGTTTGGCTTTATGCTGCAGTTGCCCCTTGTTCTGTCTGGGCATCTCACACACATGCACACAAATGTCTCTTAAGCATGGCAGTTTTCTAACCAACACTTTAACAATGAAATAAAAATCACACCACACTCTTGACAGAGCATTGGATTTGAAAATGTAACTTCCTTCAAATAATGACACAAAAGAGCATAATTTTCATGTGTAGATATATATTGTATGTATGTGAGAAAAGGCTTCTCTCAATAAAAAAAAAAGTCAGGATACATCTAATTTTAGAAAAAATCAAATCCTCAGTACTGTTGTTGCTATTTCCAGAAACGTGTTCTCTGTTGTGTAGTCGATCCATTTACAGTCTAAAGTTAAAATCTCAGGGAACAGTCCTATTTTTTTTTCGTACATGGTGCACAAGGCAAACAAGCAGCATTTGTCTTGGGGAACTGAGGGCACCACTGTTAACCAGAAGACAGTACAGTATATAGCACTGAAGACTCAGCTGTTGCTGTGTGGGGCTTCATTTCAGAATGTCAACAGACAGAGGGAGCATTTTGATTGAAATTAGCATGACAGCCTACAATAACAGGAAGGAGGGAATGGAGCCCTCTACTTATTTTAACCTCATGGGAATGAATCAACCTATATTATGCTCATCGCCACCACTGGGACCATCACTGAATAGTAGCTCCCTGTCATGTGCTCAGGGACCACACTCAGTCTCTACGCACACACACACGCACATGCAAACAAATATAGCAGACTGTGTAGACTCACTCATGCCTTTTTGAGAGACTGATTGCTGTTCCTAAATTTATACATGTCTGTAACTGCTTTCATGAATGCTTATAATAATGATGTATGTTGTATTCTGTCCTATTCTGCTGCAGTACCAGTATCCACTGACTGGGCATCACACCAGTCCCGTACCTTGAGTTGACTGGAGCAGCCGTACTGTATGAGCGGTGTGAACGTAGTCAGCTGCAGCTCCGCGTCCGACTGCAACACGTTGCCGACCAGATTGGGCATCTTGGTGACGTTGTATCCGAGACCCTGGCACATGCTGATCCGGATCGGGTCACAGGTCATCTCCTCCACCTCATCGCCGAAAGCCTGCACCACACAGAGCGGACCAACAAGTCCGGTCAACAGGAGCAAAGCTGCCCCGGTGAGTGACACCATCACCTCGGGCATGGTCACCGCGACAGCACGGACAAGCCGCCCTCTGTTAATATCCCCTTAATCACAAAGTCAGGTCAGGAAGCCCTGGAATCCACAGCCGCCGTTTATAGTCCAGCAGGAGTGCAGCGCGTGTAGTCCGTGCGTTTTGGAGATATCCCACTCCGAGCCATTCAATACATTAAAGTCGTTGCGAGCGCTGTGCGTAACCTAAAGCGCACGGTTTCCGTTACAATACTCTATTAAGCAATAATGCATCTGCGATCCCCGCAGTCCGTCTTGCGTTGTTTCCTGTTAATAACTGCTTGCGCAGCAGCGAGGTACTGCGGTCACTTTTTGCGCCTACTGCCTGCAAGAGTCCAGCACTAAACTTTATTATGCCTCAGAAGAGAGACTATTTTGCCCTTTCAGAAGAAAGTCGACCAATCCATGCGCGGGAGTTGGGTTTCCCTGACCAACCCCTGGCCAGGAGGGCGGGAACCAAGAGAAAAATAGAAGCGCGAGCCTCCTCTCCTCTCCTCCCCTTTCTTTCAGCATTTTGCCTTATCCCATCTCCTTTCCTCTTTCAGTCATCCTTTCTTTTCTTTCCCT